CAGCCCCCTCCCACCGAAGGTGGTCCCGGCCACGGACGGGGACCCTGCCTGGCGTGCCCGTGGCCGCCGGCATCTCGGGGCTGATCCAGGCAGCATCTTCCAAAAAGGATTCTCCCTTCTGCATCAAAAAACATCGTTTCTGTGGATGCCCAGAGCCTGGAAAACCTTTTTTGCTCTCAAATCTGGTAAGAGTAGCCCGCTTGTAACTGAGCTCCCTTCTCTCGTTCTCCAGCGAGCGAAAGGTCCAGGACAGGTTTTCTTGGGACCCTAAAAAGCTTGGGGAAAAAAAAATTGTTGGCAATAATGAAGTTTTCCGCCTTTGCGTAGTGTTTGTGTTGCCCAAGAGCTGCTTGACATTTTCTCAGCGGCGTACGGGCCCCGACGGCGGCGTAAAACCTGCGTGGGGGCCCCGCTGCGGTTGGGGGGTGGGGCAGGGCGAGGAGCCGGGAGAGACGCGGGAGCAGGAGCTGGGATCTCTGCGGGGGCAGCAGCCTGCTCCGGCCTGACCCGTCGCCTTTGTCGTCTTTCGAACAAGGGGAAAAGTTTGATTCCCTTGACTTGCTGCAGATTCCCTTCGCCCCAGCGGGGGAGGAAGGTTTCTGCTCCTGGGAGGCTCGCGTGGAGGTGTGTCGGATCCCGCGGTATGCGGGTGCGTGGGGCTGGCGAGGTCCCACCCTTTCCTATGGCAGAAGGGTGGCAGTTCTGCCAGGGCACGTGCGGGCCGGAGACGCGGCACTCTGTGATGAGCTGGAGGGCGTTTAAGCTGAGATGGGGCAGCAGCTGCCTTTGCAAAGTCCCCTTTGCTGTCCCTTCCCTGCTTGCTGCTCGGGGAGGGGGGCAGGGGGGCTTTTCTGGGGTGTCTGACGGGCTTCCAGGGCTGCAGGAGTTGGGCCTCTTCGCTTCCGTTCCGGGTCCCGGAGCAGGGTGCGTGAGCGCAGGTATCTCTTGCTGTTGCGGGAATCTTGACTTGGGTGCAAAAAGTTGGGGGTGTTTTGCTCTGAAAACGCCCCTGGGTTTTGGTTCGGGGATGGGAAGGTGCGTGCCAAGCCAGGAGGACGATTCTGGAGGGCTGGGGGAGGTAGTTGCCTGGGGCAGGCAGGGTAGATGGATGCTTGCTGCTTTGTCCGCAGCCCTACGTGGGTTTTAGCTGGCTCTGGCTGCAGCTCAGCAGCTCCCCGCTGTCGGTGCTCTGCTTGCAATGTGCATTTACTGGTCACCGGTCGGGACGCGAGGGCTGGGCAGGCGGGGTCCCCAGCCTCCCCTCTCCCCTCGCTGCGGCACCCCCAACTCCCTGCTGAGGTTGGTGGGGGCCGGCTGGGGCTGAGGAGCTGGTGCTGTCCCAAGTGGGGCTGGAGAAGGTGCTGTTGAGCATCTCCCGGGGCGTTGCTGGCAGGCAATGTGTCCGTCCTCGTCTCTGCAGAGACTTTTGGTGCTGCCAGGGTCTGGGGCACAGGCTCTTGGGTCGGAGCCCGGCAGCTGCCCGCTCGTGGAGGGCGCGGATGGGCACTGCCGTGGCCCCCGTGCTGGGAGGCTGAGGGGCTGCCCGGCCGGGGGCTGCCCTGTGCCCTCTGCTTGTGCCAGGGCCGCCCCCTCGCTGTGCCGCGCTGCTGGGCGACTCGCGGCGAGCGCGTCCCTGCAGTGCTTCGTCAGGGAACGCCGCTGCAAATGGAGACAAAACCAACTTGGAGGGATGGCAGATGCTTCCCAAGAGAGGGGGGGACGCGGGTGTATCGTCCTTGAGTGTACTGTCCCCGAGCACCGGCTTTCTCTTCCACTTCCCTGCCCTTTTCTCATGATCCCCCTTCCAAGAAGAGTTTCTGCTGGGACAGCACCCTTAACGTTGCAAAACTGATGCTTCACCGCGCAGGAGGAGGCACAACTTGAAACCTTCCGAAATAATGGGCTGCAGGGAGTTTGCTGCCCTTCCTCGGGCCAGCGTTTGCGGCTCCGTAACCCGGTGCTCCCAGGGCTTCAGGAAAGCTGCTCCCTGCTCCCTGCCTGCTGCTGGGCGCAGGACCGCTGGTGCTCGTGGGCTGCGCTCCCAAACAGCAGCCTGCCTCTCCCGCAGCTCGGGCCGTGCCGATCACCGGGAACGGGTCGCTTCGGAAACCGCGAGCTCTTAGGGGTCAGTAAGGACCCTCGGAGGGGGAGGCCAACGGGGATTTTCCCCCGTTTGGGGCCGAGCCAGGTGTTGAGACATCAGGCTGGAAGCAGAGAGCTGCCCTTGGGTTGCTAACGGGTGGGAAGGGGATGCTGCCCTCCGGCCACCCCGGTCCGCGAGCGCCCGGGTTCACAGCTCTCTCCTCTCTTCCAGGGTCCTGCGGAGCGGCGGCGGTGGTCCCCAGCGGATGGGAGGATGGTTGTTCTCAGGCAGTTTGGGCTGCTGCTCTGGAAGAACTACATCCTGCAGGTAGGCTGGGGCCGCGCTCGGGGGGGGCTGCCTCTCTCATGGCTACGCGTGGGTACATCAGAGCTTGCCGGGGGGCTTGATTCTCCGGCAAACCTTCACCGTGGGCCCGAGGTGTTTCCTGGAGGAAAACGGATCCGTTAGTGCACGCGGTGTCGTCCCTGTGCCGCGCAGTGGCGGGCAGGGCCACGTGCTCTGTCGTCCCTGTCCCCTCCGGCGCACGCTGCGCCTTTCCCCCCTCCTGCAGTTCAGCTCCCCCTTCTTGCGGAGCGGGCTGACCCGGGCGCCCTCCCATGGGACGGTGGCTTTCCGGACCTGTCCTGTCACCTCCTCCGGAGGTGGCGATTGCTGCACGGCGCCTGCAAACCCACCAGGGCCCTCCGTTACTGCCTCCAGCCCTCAGAAGCAGCTTTTGGGGGGCTTAAAAAAAAATAATCAAACTACCTTCAAGAAAGACGAGGAACTCCTAGAAAGAGTCCAGAGGAGGGCAACAAGGATGATGGGGGGACTGGA